TTCTTTTTTTTTTTCTCTATGTCTTAGATAACCATACCCAGGGGTGGAATCTTGAAATAGAGTCTTCTTTTGATGTTGTCAGCCCAAAGCCAATTTCTGGTCAAGTGATAGTAGCCATTCCTAAACTGCAAACACAGCAGACGTACAGCATTGAACTTCAACCTGGGAAAAGGATTGTTGAGCTATTTGTGAAAATTAATAAGGTGAATGATGGTACTTCCTCAGAACCACTAGATGAAGAGCAATACTGTTCAGAAGAAATGACTAGAAAGAAGGGACTGAGTATGAAAGAAAAATGTACTTTTCCCATTTTTCCTTCACTTTTAACCTCTCATATTTGTGTGTGTGTTATGAGCTAAGGAATGACTTTTCCAAATTTTAAGATTAAGAAAATGGAGAATATGTGATTTGACATCCTTTCCTCTCAAGAAGGCAAGTGTGTTGTGTTTTAACTTTTCTGCACTGTTTGTGGCATCCTGAATCCAAAATACATACTAAACATTATATTTAAACACAGTGATTGTAATTGGTACTTGTAAATTATTTTGAATATTGGCGCTATTTTACAAACAGAATTTTAATTCTAAACTCATGATCTTTCACCAGTAAAAGTGGGCTGTTTTTTTTTCCTTTTCTTTTTCCTTTTGTTATTACTGGAATTGATCATTGTGAACCGAATAGGATGGAGTAAATCAACATTCAGTTACTGTTTGGATACAGTAAGAACTCAAAACAGTTTCTAGTTCTGGGCTTAAAAGGAGAGTCAACCTCAAAGTCCAGTTCTAAATGTTAAGAATACAAAATAAAATAAGCTTCAGTATTAGAAATGAAAAGAATTGTTTTTCTGATAACCCATGTTATTCTGTTATTTCCTTTCCCTTTTGGTATATTAATCCATGCTAAACACCTAGCACGTTGATTTTTTTTAATTTTTTAAAAATGTTTATTTATTTTTGAGAGAGAGAGCGTGAGCGGGGAGGGGGCAGAGAGAGAGGGAGACAAGAATCTGAAGCAGGCTTCAGGCTCTGAGCTGTCAGTACAGAGCCTGACACGGGGCTTGAACTCATGAACTCTGAGTTCATGACCTGAGCCAAAGTTGGACACTTAACTGATTGAGCCACCCAGGCACCCCTAGCCTGTTGATTTTTAAGTATTATCTATGGGTTGGTATAATTTGGCATAACATAGAACCTAGAATTTCTGTGCTTGACTCTATGATACATTGATATAATGTTCTGAATGACTATATTATTTTGCTGAAAATATGCCACAGATTACTTAGAATGACTTAAATTGTTTCTTGAAAGAATGCTACTGTAGAAACTTGGTGGCCTCATGGACATGGAAACCAGACTGGATATAATATGACAGTTCTTTTTAAGTTGGATGGAGGCTTAAGTATTGAAAAATCAGCTAAGGTAAGCAAATACTTTAAAATATTTTGTCAAGAAAAAGTGTATTTCTTGTTAAAATAACAATACAAATCTTTGTAGGAAAAGAAGAAACCAGCAAAACTTCTATAACCTTATCACTCAGAGAGAGTCACTAGTAACAGTTATATGCATTCCAAAACTTCTCTGTGTGTATATTTATATATTTATAAATGGATTAGACTTTACAAATTATTTTAATATAAATATTATATAATATATAAATATTCTATTGTTTTTAAATTGCACATTATATCAAAGTAATACATATGTATAATTTTAATTAAAAATTTTTTTAATGTTTATTTTTTGAGAGACAGAGCATGAGTGGGGGAAGGGCAGAGAGAGTGAGACACAGATCCGAAGCAGGCTCCAGGCTCTGAGCTGTCAGCACAGAGCCCAAATTGGGGTTCAAACTCACGAACCACAAGATCATGACCTCAGCTGAAGTCGGACGCTTAACTGACTGAGCCACCCAGGTGCCCCACATATGAATGATTTTAAAGGTCAGATATTACCAGAAAGTAATAGAATCCCTTGCCCAGCTCTTCCTATTTCTATTCCTATTTTCTATTCCTCAGAATCAATCATTTTTAACTTTTACTTATTTCTTCTATTTACCTTTATTTTCCCAAATAACATGCTTCTACTGATGTTTTCTAATTTTGCAGTTTGATGTATTGCTTATTGACTTCAAACCTAGAGGATGAGGATATTTCTCTTCTACATGATTCTCTCTGATGATCCCTGCTTGCCCCCCAAACACACATTTTTGCCTCCCTCTGCCCTCGCAGTGTTGTCCAATGGCCATTTTTGTTAACTCAGTATTCAGTGTTTACATTATTATATTATGAAAATACTACTCAAAGCTGAATCACATGGTATGCTGAAATCATATTTCCTTTCTTGTACAACTTTCTGTATTACTCAGAGTAGTAATTGCTTCATGTACCGGTTGCTTTGTTTTTCTTTTGTCTTCCTCTAAATCCTGTACAAACTTTCTGACATATTTGAAATACCTTTTACATTTAGTCACACTCACTAGGTGTTCTATCCCTTGTTTATTGTTACTATTATTATTCTTTTAATTTTTGCTATCTCCCAAAACACTCTCTCCTAGAGCCATTTTTTTCATCTCCCTGATCTTGCTTGGTCACTTTCTAGAACTTCTACTTAGCTGTTGACCTGGAATTTCCTTTTATTATTATTGTTGGAATTTTCTTCATCTGTCTTCTAGGAATTCTAAGTATTCCCTTCTTTTTTCTTCTGGATTAAATATGGAACTCTGTTTCTTTGGACCCATGTTTTTCTTTTTTTTAACTTGACTTTCCACTTTTGCTGATACACTTTCTCCGATAGATTCCTGAGAATGGGTATGTAGAAGATAACATTTTGGAGAACTTGTAAGCATGCAAATACATAAAGTCTGTCTTCACAGTTACTTGATAGTTTGGCTGTGTATGGAAGTCTAGGTTGGAAATCATTTTCCTTCAGAATCTTGAAAACATTTTTTCATTATCTTTTAGCTTTTAATATTTTGTTTTAAAATGTAATTACAGGGGCGCCTGGGTGGCGCAGTCGGTTAAGCGTCCGGCTTCAGCCAGGTCACGATCTCGCGGTCCGTGAGTTCGAGCCCCGTGTCAGGCTCTGGGCTGATGGCTCAGAGCCTGGAGCCTGTTTCCGATTCTATGTCTCCCTCTCTCTGCCCCTCCCCTGTTCATGCTCTGTCTCTCTCTGTCCCAAAAATAAATAAACGTTGAAAAAAAAAAATTAAAAAAAAAAATAAAATAAAATGTAATTACATTCTAATTGTTGTTTTCTTGTATAGGACTATTTTTGTTTGCTTCTGGAAGCTTTTAGGATTTATTTCTGATAATCTAAAATTTAAAAATTTGAAAATGAGTGGATTTTATTGTTGTTATTGTTGTTATGCTAGTTATACTTGTGAGCACTTCCAATCTAGAAACTCAACCTGGAAATTTTCTTTTATTATATCTTTGATAATTTTTCATTTATTATCTTTGTTTTATTTATTTATTTTTTTTTGATACAACTGTTAATCAGATATTGGACCTCATGGATTGAGCAATATTCTTAGGTTTGCCCTTCCGCATTCCATCTTGTCTTTTTATTTGGTCTTCTGGGAGATTTACTTAATTTTATTTTCAGTTTTTAAAATTAGATACTTTATTTTTGTTATCACCTAAAAATTTTCTAAAAAGGTTTTTTATTTTTAAATTGCATCCTATTTTAATTTTATAATTATAATATTTTCTCATTTCTCTTGGAATATTAATTATTACTATAAGTATTTTTGAAGTTTTCTCTGCATTGTTTTGTTTTCCGTATTTCTTTATTTTTCTTATTTGTTTTGGTTTCTGTCTTGGTGTCCATTCATTCTGAAGATAAAGTCACAAAAATGCAGATAAGAAATCCTAGATGAGGTTCGATATTCATTATATAGGTGGAAACCCAGCTTTATCTTGTAGTGGTGCCCACATGTCAGTAGCTATAGATCGTGAGTGTGTGTGTGTGTGTGTGTGTGTG